TTTCCCTTCATTTAAAAATTAAATGTGTTTAATTTGTATTTTACGCCTGAATTTTCTTACGGCTCAAGAAAGGTTGCCTTCCAGCCGGCAAAAAAAAGGATGATTAATTAAGGCTATTGTGATTAATGTTGCTGCCCCGAAACCGAACCCGAACCCGAGCCTCAACCCAAGGCCTTGGCATAAAAAAAAAAAACAAATCAGCCAAGCGAACGAATGACGAACGAGAACCTTTTCGAGAGGCAAGAAAACACTGACCACAAGACGATGACCCTAGCACACACACAGGAGCTGTCTTTATATATATATTTATATATCTGTGTATATCTATCCCACTGACCCAAATCTCAGGCGACACCTTGTCTTTCAGGAAAATACCAAGAAAATAAAAAAGAATAACAGGGTGGTGTCAGGTGGAATAACGGAACTCAACAGCTGAGCAAACATTTGATCCTGGCTGCGGTTCAGTGGCGCTCAAACTGTGACAGGTGCAAATTGTTGAACTTGTGTCTGTCCCTGCGTGTCCCTTTAGCACCTGTACTGGGTCACACACAGACACACACACACACTCAAGCCGTTTTTCCCCGGATTTTCCTGCTGCCATTTGTTTTCCTGTTGTGTCTTTTTTCGTGTTTTTATTTTTGTTTTTTTTTTGCAGCCCAAGTTTTATTGGTCTGCGTCTGAGTTAAGTCTGTTTGAATTTTCTTGTTGTCCTGGGGAGATTTCCATGTTTTGTCCTTGAAGTATCCTCAGTGGCTGCGGCCTTATAAATCTTCTTTTTTGGACAAAATGGCGCAGCACGTAAATCGTTATTAGTATTGGTCGGCGTGTGTCTAAACAGTTGTGGTCAGAATAATAGCATCTCACATATTTTTATTCCTATTATTATATTTTTTTTTAATTTTATTAAATTGTTTAAAGAGATTTACTATTGTTATTTATTTAAAGAGGTGTCTAAGAAGATATATCATTTTATAATTTTATTTATTTTTATTAATTAATTTATTTAATGAATTTTATTTCATGAAAAGCCTTGAAAATTATGCAAATTATATCTTAAAAAACTCAAAATAAACATCTTTTATAAAATAAAAAATATTATAAAATTTATAAATAATTACCCTATTATTCTTACCTCATCTGTATTGCTTCAGGTCTTGTCTGTGCAAGGAATATAAATTATTTTCTGCTTCGACTATCAGGGAACGTAGCTTTATTTTGTCTTTTCACTTTTGTTTTGGCTCACTCGTGTTGCCAACTAATTGTGCCGCCTTTTGCTTTTACCTCACTGCTTTTGGCCCTCAATTGCTTTGCATGCGCTCAACAATTTATGAGCACTGCGGCTTAGAGGAATACAAGGAGCAAAAAATACAAAAAAAAATTAAAGAAAAAAATGTAAGAAAAAAAGCGCAGCAGCATCTTTTGTCGCGGCATAAATAAAATTAATTATTCAGGCAAAAAGGCAATGGATTTGGCTTTGCCTTTGGCTTTGGCCAACTGGCAAAGTCCACGAAAGCCGTAAAAGTCAAGAACAACAGCGAATTGAAATTTAAGTGCCGCCAAAAGGCAAAAGTCGTGGATTTTAACAGCACTCGAATGGGCCGAATGGGACAAAAGGTATTGTCTGGCGTTGGTAGAAGCAACAATTATTTAACCCAAGGCTAACCAAAAATTACCCTCAGCAGATGGGTTAAATTACAAAATAAACAAATACAAGAGGGGAAATTATACAGATTATTTAAGGCAATATAAATTAATATTTAAATTAAATTAAAATACAAATTTTTACAGTTTATTTATGGCATTTGGATTGTTTTTTGAAACCTTTTTGTTAATAAATAAAACTGTCTCATATTCATTTTTCACTTTCGCTCTCAATCTCGGCAGTCGGATTTCCAGTTACAATTTGTCTTGGATGAATCCTGATTCCACGGTTTCTCAGGCAATATCTTTACCAAACAATGGGATATAACAAAGCCCAGAAAAAAAAGAGAAAGGAAACAAATAAACAACGGTTAGCCTTTAGATTTCCAGATGACCACGCCTCCGCTTTAGTCACCGCCCCCTCTCCTTGTCTGTGAAGTCAAGTCTAAGGGAAAAATTAATTACGCACGCTTTAAATTTGATTTCATTTGTTTTCGTTACGGTGGTTCCGTTAGGATAGCTAAAATGTACTGCAAAAAACTTTTAAGTATTTTAAAAATATTTAAAAATATATTAAAAGTTAGGATAGCTAAAATATACTGCAAAAAATATGTAAAAGTCTGTTAAAAATATTTTAAAAATATTAAATAATAACTCTGGAGTCGAGACAAGTAAAAAATATACTAAAACATTATTTCTTTAAATTAATATTAAACATTTTTTAAAATAATAAATTTTTGCAATATAAAATAATAGATTTCTGAAACATTTAAGATTTGGTAAACTAGAAATTCTACAAATTTATAATAGGTTAGATTAGGTTAATCAACAGAAAATCTATTTTTAAAAATTCTAGAGTTGCATATAATTTTTAAATATTTTTCTATTATTAATCTTTTAGTTATTGGTGCCATTTATTCTCAGTGTTGATAACCCTACACTTGCACTCCTTTCCTTGGCCATCATCCCTTTCATTCCCTCCCCTTTTGGAGGCAACCTCCCTCCCCCTTTAGCTTTGGTCATTCGTCTTCCATTTCGTGTTTTAATGAGCTTCATGCGCCACACGCTGATTTCGCTTTCTTCGCGTTTTCTTCTCCGCTCCAGCTTGTTATTATTATTGTTTTTTCTTCCCTCTCTTTCTCGTTTACCATTTCAGCATTGTTTAATTTGTGTTTTTTTTTTTGCGTTCTCTTCTCGCTTGCTAGCAAATTGCAAATTGCGGGTTAGCATTTCTTAATGTCAATGCCATTGTAGCAGCAGGCAGCAGAAGAATTACGATGGTTGCTGGGAGGGGGTGGTAACCGAGGGGGTGGAGCGAGAGGGGGATAATGAAATAAGAGAGCACAAAGAAATTGAAGAAGTTTCGGCCAAAGGCGAAGAAAATCGCACTTCAAAGAAATCAAAATTGAAAAGTTTTTTGTGATATTTAAATATATTTGAAAATTCTTGATTTTAATATATTCTACTGATTTTAAACCTCCTTTAATAATTCCTAAAATTATGCTGTACAAATTGTAAGCTGTTCTAAAACTATCACTGCATACTTTTAGGGATTTTATGATATGAAAAGATATCTGAAAACATATGTATTTTCATCACTAAATTGTTCTTATAATTTCATTAATTACAATACCTGACTTAATAGAATTTGTTTTAAAAAAATGAATCAAAATATTATACAAATAATCTAATTTTTTCTCTGTGTAGTCTCCTCTGGTCGAACCCAAGAAATTTCAGCTTTATTTTCCCTTTCCCCTCATTTTTTTTTTGGCTTAAGTGTGCAAGTTAATTGAATTGGGGCTTATGCGAGGTGGTGTTGTGGGGGCAGCAATACAGCTACAGTCTCTGCTAATTGTTAATTGCCTGGGGGGTGGCCAAAAAGAAGTACAATTCGGACAAAAGCGCTGCATGCATTTATGGTAATGCGAACTGCGAACTGAGAATCGAGAAACGAACATCGAGAACCCAGCGGGTGAAGGAATTGAAGTGCGGATCAGGGCCGAAAGTGCAACAAATTGAAAGTGTTAACGATTGTGGCTAGGAGACTGGGCAGAAGGGGGTTGCTTTAGGAATAATTAAATACGCTGATTAAGTGGGGCTATAATTGTTGTCGACTTGGTGGGGAGGGAGCAATGACAAGTAGAAAACGAAAGAGTTGAGGAAAGTTTTAAGGATTTCTTAAGGGATAGATATGTATTTGCTCTTTGTTAATGATTTAATGATTTCATGAATAAATAAATATAATAAAAACTCAAGTAAAACAACATTTTTAAAGTAATAATCAATATTTGTTAAATATAATTAAACATTTTTTAAATATTTTTAAAATTATTATAAAACTTTAAAATATATTTTAAACCTCAAAATTAATTACTTACCTTCCAATAAAAAGCTATAATACAATTAAGCAGCTCCGAAGATATTTAATCCAATCAATTTCTGGCTCACTTCCTGTTCGGGCAAATAAATCCCCAAAACGTCTGTTCCTAATTCCCTACTCTCTACCCCCGTTACAAAATCCCCACTAATCGGTATAAATCTCGCAACTAAACCGAAAATACGAACCATTAGCTCGGCTATCCACCTGATACATTATGCACCTGATACGGCCGAGACATTAATTTAAAGCCCCACAAAGGAAGGCAACCTTCGCTCCTTTGGTCCTTTCAGCAACTTGGCTTTGGCTTGAAGGGAGACAAGACAAAACCAATAAACCAAATGCTGAATAACAGCCTTGTTGCCGTCACAGACGAAGGTCAGAGGGCGGCTAATGGGGAGGCGGGGACCTTGGTTTATCGCTCAGACAACGCGCAATTTTTCGTTTTAATAACAATATTTACTCATCATAAAGTATAAATGAAGGCATAATGTGTTGACGTGATATATATGTATATATACTTGTTATGCAGACATAATGTGTACATACATATATCCCTGGGTATATCAGCATGTTGCTGCGTTGCTCGTCACAGCTGGCTGGCACGCCCACGTACGCGTAACGCCCCCTTTTTTCTCCTGGCTGCTGACACAAAAATTTCACGGCTGTTTCATCGCTGTTTTCCTGTTTCCTTTTTTTATTTTCTTTTCTTGTTTTCCATTTTCCTTCTTTTTTTTTTTCTTCTGTTGAGCCATTTTGTCGTTGTCTATGAGGACTTCACTTAGGTGACATACAAAATGCCAATATTTGCATGACAAGGGCCCCAGCGAACAGTGTAGCAGGAGGGGGGGAGAAGCTGCAAAGGCAGTTTGTTTGGCTCGTCAAAGATATTGGAAATTCAAATAAACAGACTAGCAAACAGCAGTCAACACAGAAAAAAAGTATTGTAAATAGAATAGAAAAGATAGAAAATTAAATAATATTTTTTTGGTCTGATAAAATATAATAGGAATTTATTTATTTATTTTAAAATTCGTTTATTATATAAAATACCCTTTAAAATAAAACACTTCTTGTTTTTCACTCAATTGCCTCGCAAATAAAATAAAAACCGTCGCCGCAAGGTTCGGTGGTCATGGTGCTATTGAAAATAGTAACACAGGCTTCCGTCTGGAAATAGTCCCTGGGCTCGTTGTGGGCCCACTTTAAAAAGGTAACATCCTTGCCGGAACTCAAAGAACTATACTTTTGTTCGCTGTCGTTTGTCAGTCTGCTAATATCAAGCCAATATTTGTGACGTGCATTGAGTTCCTCTTCGAATGCGGTCAGTTCCTCCTCGTTTCGGATGACTGCCAGGTAGGCGCCCATCTGGCGACACATGATCAAGGCACTATAGAAGTTTAGCCTGAAGCGATCTTCAATGTAGAAGAACCTTGACTTGATCTTTACAAAACCTCGTGGATTTATCCTGGTGGTGACGGATGTTTCAAATTTCAAGGATGCCTCACTGTCACTTAATTTCTCCTTGAGTTCCACCAGCTGTGCTTCCAGGCTCGCCAACTTTTCTTGGGTTTCGATGAGTTTAGCGGTCTGAGTATTGCCCATGAGATCAAACATAGGCTTGAAGGCATTAAAGCAATATCCACCACAGTGACTGGTAAGATCTGGGGAACTGGGATCTGCTGAAGATCCTTGGAGAAGAGCAGCAGCAATAACTGAGAGAAGCAGGATGATCTGCATACTGAATGTGAACGTCTACAAAAAGCAACTGATGCCAGATTTATAGGCTGACTCTCCTTTTAAAGACTTGGCAGGCTGATAGTATTTCTATTATTTCTTTTATTCCTTGAACCCCAGATCAGTACAGATTTGATGAGAGGTCTAGTGAGTCGCAGCATTTATAAATACTTGATAAGGTCGGGGAAGTCCCCTGGGATGTGCTATTAAACTTTGTAGCATCAGCAGATGAACTGAACTGTACGTTATCTCCGCTATAACGTTGGTGTATTCCTTATATATATTTTTTTTTCTTAAATAATCAAATTTGTTTAAGTATTTCCCTCACAGTGTAGCCCCAACAAAACGTGCTACACGTGCAGACTGGGAAATGGCGTTAGGTGGCGCCATTCCAGCTACTCTACTCCATTACCCTCTGGGCAAACAGCCTCCCCCTTCTCATTCCCAGCCCCACGGATTTTCCACTCTCTCTCCCCCGCCCCCGCCCTCGACAAGCCATCAATCAATGGGTCTTAGAGCATTTTGTTGCCTTCGATTTGTGGGCAAGCATTTAACGGGGCGTATACGCAATTAATGCGATGGAGAAATGAAGAGAGAACCTCTTTAAGGAGTTCCCTGATTCGAGCTTTCCAAGGTCGCATTCGTGAATGTTCTGCTCTAATTGCATTTTGCGAAAGTCGTTTTATTTTACCATCTTTTTTCTTTTTATTTTTCAAAGACAGCTTCTTGAATTTATACATTCCCTGTGTTGTTTCATCATAATTATCGAGATAATTGCGCACGCATCGTTAATTGGAGATGAATAAATGTCTAAGGGGGGGGGTAGGGTGTTTCTGCAGTGAAGTGGAGAAAATGAGAGAGACACGCAATTACCCTGAGCCGAGAGATGGGGAATGTCAGATAAGTGAGGAAAAGTGTTGATTATAATGAGCCATCTAACCGCAACTTTGGTCCAGATTTGCTTTGGTAATTATCAGGAACATCAAAGCGAGAAAAATCTAAGCTATCCCTTGGGGGAATTAACTTTTCCAATCAATATTATTATATCGAATTGACACTCGCCCACACAGAGTCCTTTGCCCCTACAAATCATTTGCATATCCTCTGCTGCTGCCAATCGGAGTGAAAAGAATCATAAATCAAGCTCAAAACAATCGAAAGTTTATTCAACTCCCTGGGCATTCATCACCACAAAAAAAACACAAAAATTGGGGAAATATACGTGAGTGAGAATAAATATTATTTATTTTCATTTGATAAATTCATCCACAATAATTCCCGAAAATCCAGCGAGATATGCGTGGCAATTCCGGTCTGAAATCTTCTCACTCAAACTTTTTTTTTCGTTTTTGGTTGGTTTCGGCTGTTAACCGAATTGTTATTAATTTTATAGGCATTTTGTGCGTGTTTTGCGTGTGCGTGCTGCTGGCAATCAGAGCCTCCAGACAACGACCCTGACCCCTGAACCCGGACCCCGGACTCCTGACTAACTGAACAAATGACAGACTGAAGAAGGGCGAATGGGAGGCCAAGTGGCTCAACAATGCGTAACAACAGGAAAGCAATAACAGTTTGCAATTAGCCCAAACGCGTTTCGGCCGCAACTTTATTTTGACACTGTCTACAAAGGGGTTTTTTTGGGAAGGGTGGGGTGTGGGGTATGTCTTTTGGGGGGGCGGAGTACAAGGTCAACGCATCAGGGCAGAAAATTGAAGAGCCAGATGAGGCTTCAGCTGATGAGTGAAGGTCGTCAATGTAGTTTCTTAGATAGAAAAACAAGGAAAACTTGAAATATGATTTTTAAATATTATCATTTATTATAAAAATTGTTTAAATTTAGTAAATTACAAAATTTCTTCAACATTAAAGGAAATTTACATTAATCATTCAAATTTTACTCTTAAAATAGTTGTATTCAAGAATAATAAATTAAATACACATTTTTAATGCTATTTTATAGTGTTCCTTTAACGAACTTTTAATGCAATTCTTGGCCATCTTGCCGTCAGTCCTTCAGATAAATAGTTTCTACTCCCCTAACAACCCTCGCTTCCTGAAGAGTTACTTACAATTTCCTCTGAGATGCCACCTCAGGGATAATAGGAGGGGACAGTATAATATCCCTGCCACTTTTCACCCAGCCCAAATCGCTTCTTAAGCAGTTTAGCATTAATTAAGTTGCAGTAGAAGTTGCAGACATTCGTCGTGGAGGCGGGGTAGCAGCTTTAGTCGCCAAAGTACTTCATTTAACTGTCTGTCTGTCTGTCTGCTGCTGGCCAAGCGATAAGCTCAGCCCTACCGCCCGCTAACTAACCCCCTTTTGGCCGCCTAACTAATTGCTGCCTTTTAACACTTGGCCAAATGCGTCGAGTGGAAATTCACTTGCCATCTATCTCGCTCGGCGAACGGTGTGCATTTCCTGGCCAGACACATACACACCTTCCCCGCCGACGGCCTGTGAAAATCGCCAGACCTTTTTGCCGAATGATTAACTGCGCAAAAAAAAAAAAAGAAAAAGGGGAAAATTCTTCAACGTTCCAAGCGTTCTTTATCAGACATCATCAGTTTTTCCGTCGCTTTTCTGTCGCTTTATGCGTCAGCGCACTAAACCAACATTTTTACACCTAAGAGCAGATCAATAAGACTCCGGATTGTGTGGGACCACGCCGGCCAGCAGCGGAACTCCGGCCGTAGTCGCCGTCCCAGCCGCAGTCGCAGTCGCAGTCGTCGTTGTCTGGCATTTAACGGTTGATTGAACCAAAGGGGCCCAGCATTTTCGGCCTCAATGAGTGCGAGACATGGCTAAGCGTATTAGCAGCCGCATTACCGTTAAGTTTACAGTTTAACTATTAAAGCGAAAGCCGGGGGAATCCCACCCACCACAATCCAACCACCCGCAATCCATTAGCCGACATTACGCATACGCCGCGTGGTGTCCATAAAAAATGCAACGCTGCATTGTTTAGCCAGCGAAACAGAACGCAGAATGCAGGAAAATATAAAAAACTGGGCATACAGAGGGGGGGAGAAAAGCAACGTAAGACTGGCGAAAAAAAAGGGCAAAGAAAAACTATAATAGAAATGGGGGGCGCATGGCAGGCGTGGCCACGTTCCTTTTACGTGCCTCGGCATGCAAAGTGCAAAGCTGCGAACTGCAGCTGGGGAATCGCATTTGTACCCATCCATATTGATGTACATACATGGAATGCATTTTATGATGAACATGGATTCATGACTCGTTTTTTTTTTCGAGGTTCGAGTTTAAATATTTATGGTTTTTCTTCTGGTTTGATGTGCGAGAAAGCGTGGGAATTTAAGAAAGATCAGAGAGTGTGGGAAAGTTATAAGCTTAAATGTTTTTTATAAACAGCGGAAATCAATTTGGGATTAATTTTAATTGGTGATTACATATATTTTTATAATTTTTAAATTTTTAAATTCTAGAAAAATAGCTTTAGAGTTTATCCTTCGAGCAAAAACTATCGAAAGTTCAATGATTAATCCTTATATTCTGTAGCTTCTACTCTTATTTTGTTATTCAAATTTCTCCTGTAATATTATCAGAAAAAAACCTTTGCAATTTAATAAATATAAATAACAATTCAATAATTCCACTTGGATTACAATTTGATTAAGACTGTACTGGACACTTGAGGCCTTATCATCTATCAAAGCAAATTATGCGCTAATCTTGTCCAGACATCGCTCCCCCTAACAAATGTTTGCCCTGCTTCTTAAGTATTTTCTCATTATTATATTATATATATATTGCTCTTTTGGCTTTTGGGCGTCGCATTGCAGCCAACAAATAAAAATATAAAAAAAATATATATATATAGAAAAGCAATACAAATCCACAAATCAAAATATATCTGAAATGTTTGAGGGGGCAGCGCGTTTCGGGGCGGTCTCCGCTGTCGTTTATTCTGTGGCACTGACATGCGACAAAGTTGCAGTTGAAATGGACCGCCAGATGGAAATGGAAATGCTTCTAGTTCCCTAGTATTATCCATCTCCCCCCTCTTGCCCTAATGACAGTGACCGGAGGGGGGGTAACCAGAACCCGAAACATATCCAGACAATTCTGAAGCTATGATTCTGATTCCGATTCCGATTGCCTGCCAAGAACCCCAAGAACTTCAGCGTTTGTTCACCCCTCTCTCCTTCTCTCTCTCTGGCTACATATTACCCGATTTTTCTTCAAATTTCCCGCTCTCCCCAAAAACGTGGCTGCCAAGAAATGTTTGCTCTAGAGATTTCTATGTTTCCAACACATTTATTAAAGCGAAAATATTGAGAGAAAGGGAGGAGGAGCCAGTGCAGCAAAGGCAGTAGTAGTTGTGCCTATGACAGCATTGGGTTTGGGGAGGTGCCGGTTGGATATTAATCATCGGGCAGACTTAAATTGCAAATGAAATCGGAATTGGGCAACGGTGCGTATGCGTATCGTAGTTGAGTAGTTCGAGGCGACGAGGGAGCCAGAAATTGGCAGACTCTGTCAAGCATTTTGTTGGCTGCAGCAAACACAAACATACATATTCAAATGTCATACAGAGGCAGAAATTCAGTTAAATACAAGGAAACGTAATTTTATTAAGCAGTGTTTGTTGGGTTAAAATTAACATATTTATGCTTAAATTCGAACTAAACAGGGAATTCCTTTAAGCAGTTACCAGAGTGTTTAAATAAATTAGGCAATTGAAATTAGCAGAGATAGGTATCTGAACTTGTCGCCCTAGAAAGTCTCTCAGAATGAATAATATTAACAAAAGATATAAATATTTAATACTAAGAAAACTATTAAAAATATTAAAAACGGATGTTACATTGATGACATTATTAATTTACCGGAAGAGAAATCTAAAGAGGTTTTATAAACAAATTTCTTACCAATTTATTTTATTTTTGTTGCTAAATTAGATTGCAAATATTTTCCTCTAATTATGAAATATACAAAATTATGCAACAGAAAAATATAAAAAACATATATATAACTTTCTTGGAAACGCTAAAATTATATTCTTAAAAAAACTATAATAATACATATCCTGTTTTCAATATTAATTCAAACTTTACATGCAAAAGACAGCTAGTATCTTGAAGAATAACGAATATAAAATATATTCTTTTCTGTGCAAATATATTCAAACATATACACACACACTCATAGAAACAGACAGAGAGAGGGATATCCATTAAACAAACACAGAGAAATCGCCGCTGACATAAAGCAGCAATGGCTGTCCTGGCAATGTCCTGGCGTTTTCCCCCCCTCGCTCGTCTAGCTGTCGCCTCGCTGGCGCCAGCTGTCGCCTGCCTTAACTTGTGCCCCCAAAAACCTCCACATTCTCCACATATGAGAATGCTCTCTCTCTGTCACACACTGGGATGCTCTGTTCTGTACTGTATCTCTGAGATACATCAGCATATTGCCGCTTGTTGAGGCATTTTAAATAATTTGTCCCTCCCGTTTGCATATTTGCAGGTCCCGCCACCGTCCAGATGGTGTCCCAGAACCGACCGCCGCCCCCGATGCCGGTGCCCGTCCAGGTGCCGCAGTACGTCAACGAGAATGGAACGCTCACCCATGTGATGCTATCGCCACAGCAGTACCAGCAGCTGCATCCTGGCCAAGGACACCTCCATCCAGCACCATTCGTAAGTGGACTAGTATTTATTTATTACTTTGAGCTTAGATATATGTTTATTTTAATTTGGGAGCATTCTCCTCTGCCAGGAAAAGTACTTTTAAATATAAAAATAATTTTTAAAGGTATATATAATTTTTTGTTTGGGTTTTAAATATATTTTTAAATTGAAAAATAAATATTTAAAAATATAGAAAAATTTTAAATACTTTTTTAAATAATTTTAAACAGAAACAAAAATATTTAAAGTTTATAAAAATGTTCTATATAAATCTATAAAATATTTGAATATTTAAACATTTTTAAATTGAATAAATAATATTTAAAAATATATAAATATTTTAAAGGCATTAATAAAATTATTTTAAATATAAAAAAAAATATGCAAAATATATATAAAATTTCCATATGAATTTTAAAATATTTTTAAACAGAAAAAAATATATTATAAATATGGAGATATATTAAATAAATATAGATATCACCTTAGTACAAAAAAAAACAAGAAAGGAAGCTAACTTCGGCACGCCGAAGTTTGTATACCCTTGCAGATTGGTTTCGATGTTTATATTATAGATTTAAATACTGTAAACACTCACAAAACAGAGTTTCATTACATTTTACCTATACTTATTATGTTTAAAGTTTGACAGTTACAGTTTTACATTCCCAGTTTTACATTTTCTCTACATCTACCGATCGGTTTATATGGCAGCTATATGATATAGTTGTCCGATTTTTATGAAATTTATTCCACAATTCTAGAATAATAAAAAAACCTTATATCTCAGAGTAGATAAACATACGTTGAAAAACAACGAAACTATAATTTTTTTCCTATTTATTTCACGACCGTTCCTATGGCAGCTATATCATATAGTCGTGGCCATATCTAAAAAATGGTGCAAAAATGTTGAAAAACAGCAAAGTTATAATTTATTTTATAAAAATATATCGAACATTTGTATGGCAGCTATATGATATAGTCGTCCGATCCGGCCCGTTCCGACATATATAGCAGTGAGAGCATATAGAAGACTATATGAAAAGTTTCATTCAGATAGCTTTAAAACTGAGGGACTAGTTTGCGTAGAAACAGACAGACAGACAGACAGACGGACAGACGGACAGACAGACAGACGGACAGACAGACAGACGGACAGACGGACATGGCTAGATCGACTCGACTGTTGATGCTGATCAAGAATATATATACTTTATAGGGTCGGAAACGTCTCCTTCACTGCGTTGCAAACTTCTGACTGAAATTATAATACCCTGCAAGGGTATAATAATATTAAATACCCACTAGTCAATATTAATACTTTGAAAAATGACTACAGCTAGTTTTTTATTCCTGTAAATATTTTACCAAGTCTTAAAAAAACTATATATACCTTTAATAGTACGTTTTAAATAGTTCTCTCAAGGACCTAGAATTTTTCCTAACACAAAACGAAATAAGCTTTTCCTAGAAATATTTTAAAGTTTACTATCATCATTTTCCATTTCCATTTAAATTAGTTTTTCCTGACAATTCCTTGGCAACAAATCAATGTAGTTAAAAATAAATTACTCTCTATACTAATCAATATTTTTTACAACTTTATAAACTTGTTCTAACAACTTTAAAGTATTTAAAGTGCCTCAAGTGTAGTTCAAGCGTAGTTCCAGTAGCCAAAGCAAACAATGTCGAGCCTTTTCAGTAAATGAATTAATTAAACCCAGACGATGCTCAGGCGACTTGAAACAATAGAATCGGGGCAAAACCAAACAAGCGGCACACAGCACAGAGCCAATCGAATTTATAGAGATATATAGTATACCTTATCGGAAAGGGAAGAAGACGCTATCTCATTTCCATACCATTAGAGAGGGGACTTCCTCCCCGGCGCCGCTTATCAATTAATTGACAGCTAATTGAGCGAACAACCAGCAATCAGCAGAGCCAACGACGGCGATTCCCCCGATATTTCCATTCGGGGGCGTCTGTAAAAATAATTTATTGGCCAAACAAAAACCCGATTGGATCCGGGTGAAGCTGTATGTTAGTTGTTCCTGGAAAACACTGAACACTGAAAAGCCATTCTCATTCGAATGCAACTGCCAGCGACTCGTGCGCTTAGCCATAATGAAACCGAGCCGGGGGGCCCCTGATAAACAACAATGGCAGGGGAAATGGGTAAACTTTTAGCTAAACAACAATTAAAATAAAGTTTAAACAAAAGCGGAAAAACAGTTGGCCAGCTGTCGGCACTTGTGCATTTATAATTTTATTATATATGTATATCGTTAAGCTTGAGTTTAGTTTATAAACTGCAATATCGTTTCGAGTCGCGGAAATCGCCGGGGAGGATAAAGTGTGAAAATTGTGTGACTAATTAGTCCATTTCGCATTATACTCCAAAGTTCTCAAAGTGCTTAAATCTCTGACTCACTGAGTGCAAATATTTGAATAGGAAACAAATGCATTCTCTTGTCAGTTTTATTTGCTGTCTGTTGTGTTCGAGCCCCTGAAAACCGTTTCATTGCATTTCGCGAGCTGTCGTTTAGGCGTGAGCTTTGACAATCGATCAGCGCGCGAGCTGTTTGGCCAAGATACTATTTGTCTTGAATGCTAATTAGTCAGTTGAGAGTAGGGACACACCCTGGAAAGGGGACAGTTATAAGAAAAGAATGCTTTGACATATAAGTTCAGTTTTAATAGAGATCAGAAAACCTTTTTTCTCTTTAATCATAAAATGTGGCCTTGCCTTTTCTGCTTATATTTTTATAGTCACTTTCAAGGGAATAAATTATTGCATTTATTTATAGTATATTTTCTTTGGAATACTTTTTTTTAAACAGCCATTTGAAATGTAAGTGCAAAAAAATTATCTGTAAAATATTCATAGCTTTTACAATTTGATTAAATGATATGGAAATACAAAAATAAATGCAAGGCTTTTTTACACAGCTATAAAAACACAGAGACGGCAAAGCTATTTAAGGCAATGTTTATATAAAACAATAATTCTTGTTATTTTTAAATATTACACTAATAATAATTGATTTATTTCCTGAGTCTTAAGGGAGTTTATTAGGTTTTAAAGTGGTGAATTTAATAATTTCTAGGGAATTTTCTTTTATTTTAATAATTTCGTGTTGTGTTTGGGTTTCTATATTTTTAATACCCATATTTATTTTTTTTTTTATATTGTAACCCCATAAAAATATTTATATTTTTTCATATTAATATAATGAAATTCATTTAAAATCAAGAGACGCTTAGCTATGATTTAACTAATACAAATTGCAGTCATTTAGATTTATTTCCCCATTTTTTTCGGCCATTAACATGCGAAACTATTTCGTTGGCCTGACAGCAGCAGCGTTGGCCAAGTTCATAGCCTGGGCCCATGCATTCCATTTAAATTGCCTCGCTAATTTGCAAAATGGCAAAAAGAGACGCTTGTTGTTAGCCAAAGCAGATGAGCGTTACCCATTCACATCACGTTCGAAAAATCCGCTTCGGCCTCCCAACTGTTGCTCCGGTCGCTATGCCACTTATGTCTAATAATTTAATAATAACAATTTCATTGTCCAACATAAACATTCCCATCATTTCCTTTATGTGCAGAAATTGTTAACAAAGAAATACATTTCGGGTCGAAATTGAAATACATTTTCCGTTTCCATGGCGGTAAATTCAGTGACCCCTTGGAATGAGATATGCTCGTGACTTGGTCCAGACTGAAAATTGAAATGGGAATCGGAATTGGAATCGGCATTGGCATCGACAGCGGCATATTCCGGTTCTGGCATAGCGCCTAGCGCAATTTAAATTCTATGGTTCAGCTCCCTCCCCGCCACCTCCCCACTTACGGTTATTTATTGTATTATATTATCAATCGCTCAATTAACATCAGAATTAATTGCATTGTGAATTATTATATAATTTCCCATTGATTACGCGCTTTGCCGCTTGCAGCAGTGCGGGATTTATAATTTGCTGACACTTCCAGCGGTGATTTACTTATTTTGTGTTCTGTAGACAAATCAAATAAATCTTTTTTCCCCCCATTTATTATGTTTTGTCAGTAGCAAAAAAAAATATATATATTTGACAAGCTCAAAATTAATTCCACTTAATTACAGCTAAAGTTCATGGGGTTAATTGGAAAATGGATGCTTGTTTAATAAACAAACTAAATAGGAGGCATTAAATTGTATTAAAAGTGGACACTAGAGCATCTATATTTTATGTGTTTAATATTTAGATGAAACATTTAATTAGAATTTGTATAAATATGCAAGGTAATTGGGAAATTTAATCTTTAATTTAATTGTTCAGTATTTAAAGGTTTAAAAAATTGTTTGTAAATTTTAAAATTATATGCAAAGTGAGCTTAACTAGTTTTTACTAACAACTTACAGCCTTCAGCCTTTTAATCAATTTTTAATACCTTTCTACTACTGTTAAATATATAAATTTAATCCCTTTACATTTCTATAATAATTTTTCTTATAAGAAGAATAAATTAATTACATTTTGAAGGTTTAAATTTTGTATTTTTACATTTATTATCAACAAATTACAGCCTTTAGCTTTTTTAAATCCATTTTTAATACCTTTTTACTACTGTTAAATATTTAAATAAAATCCTTTCACCATTCTAAAATATATTTTTCTATAAGAAATGCATATTCCCGCCACCCTGCCAGCTGTCAGATCCTTAAATACCCCCGTTTAGGCCAACTAAAGACTCCATTTGCATAACAATTTGTAGACCCAACAGCGGCTGCTGCTGCTGCTGTTGTTTTATCTTCGCCAGTGCAAGCCATTAAATGTTGCTAGTTGATCGTCGTGCCCGCTGCTGGCAACATTGTTGCTCATGACTTTTAATTGAACTCCAAGCCAAAGCTGAACTTTGCTGTCACATTTTTACATAACTCGCCGCCAGTGTGCTGGCTGGCTGGCTTGGTGGTTACCTGGCCGATCCTATTGCCATTTTCTAGCAGTGAAAAACCTGATTAATGCGGAGCCAACAACAAGCAACAACTTCATCCGCCTCGGACTCAGATTTCCAGCCTGGACACACACAGCACAGCACACACAACACATGTGGCTTCGTCACGCTTTGTTGCTGAAATGAAAGTGCCGGCGGTGGTGGTGGCATGGCTGCTCGACTGACTCCACTTTACTCTATGACTGACTGGGGCTGAATTTTCCTTGACTTAATTAACAATTTGCGGGCACAGCATTGCAGAAAAACAAACACTGAGGTTGGGTAATATCTGTGCAGAGGGGGATCTTTCTAACCAAGAAACTAAGGCAAAAATTAAATATTTAAAGAATTTTTAAATATAGTTTAGAGCAAGAAGATAAATCTCTGGTAACTTAACTTTATTTTAGACCCCTTTTTCTAGTAAGCCTCTGTCTTGGCCATCGCAGTGAGAGATTCGCAGAGCAGCAAGCAAGCACCTAACAAATGGCAGCTTCCGCTTGTGTGTTTATGTGGAAATGTTTATAATTTGATTGTATGCTAATTTGCATAACGTTCGTCGTGGTTGTCATTGTTGTTGCTGGTGTTGTTGTAGCTGGAAGTATCCATTATGCAACTTGAGTTAATGCACTCGAAATAACGGCATCTGTCGCACCATTGAAACCGAAAACGAAACCGTAAACTCCCTCGCAGAACTGTGTTTTCCATGCGTTAATCCGGCTTCTTTTGTCTCGAATTTATTATTTCTGTTGTTTCGAGCATAAAGAGTGGCGAAAAAAGAAACTCATTAACTTTGACCCATATTTATTATTATTTTTTGTTCATAGTTTATGACCATCCCAAAAACAGAACCATGGAGAATCGTACACATTTTGCGAGAGCAAATTAGTGAACAATTAACGCTTTTAAAGTTTTAAAATTGCACAATCCTTGCAAAAAGCTTGGCAAAATTAGTGTAATTTTTGGTGTACAAAAAAAATGAAATCATTTACTACAGTTTTGCAGCAAATTATCAATCATCAGGCCAAGCCAAGCCAGGCCACTTTGGCAACAATTTTTAGTTAATATCTGTAGCATGCGGGCGTGGCTAATAGCTGTTGCCCATATAAACCGCAAAAAAGAGCAATTTATTTAATGGTCTCTGCCGGCTAAAATTTAGTTTAAAGTCTATTAAACAGGCGCGGAAAATAAAATTAATTATTATTCAAAGAACCAAACTTTTCTTATAGAAAAAACTAAACAAACTCTTTTATATATTTTACAGAATTTGTATTAAAATTAAATTTAAGAAATTTTTCGAATTTGTAATAAAAATCCGAAATATTTATTTATTTTTTATTTTTAATGCATTAAAACAAACTTTTGTTACAAAAAAAACTATACAAACTCTTTAATATTTCACAGAATTCTTATTAAAACTAAATGTAAAAAAAGGTCTACAAAAAACCAGGTTTTAATTTGTATTTCATATTTTTGATGTAATTTTTTAATGCATTAAAATGCTTATTTTAAATATTAACACTTTTTTAAAGCAATTTTAAAAGTACGCGCCAAGTGTCTTCCTTACGTTGTTTGATTACGTTTTGTTTAGCGTAGTTTCAAACCGCTGCTCCTCAAAGTTATCTAGTCTGGCAACCTGGCACATAAGTGTGCCCAGATGCCGTATTCTTGTTGTATCGGTTTTGTGCGGTCACACCACTCAGCTGTTTACTTCTAAATTTTATATATTTTTACTCGTTTTCCTTATTATTTAAACTATATAACGCAGGTTAAACTAGTTCCTAGCCAAACTTAAGCACCTGAAGAAGTGCCTAGGGAATTTAATGCCAAGTGAATTAAAGTAGAACAATTACAACGCAGCAACTTCCTGTTGCCTGATAAGAAATTGGCAAATAAATTAGTTATTTGTTATCAGTGTCGGCGTTGTAGTGTGTTTTTTACGAGCCGCAGACAGATATTTATAGCCAGCGTGGACAAAAGTTGACGTGGTACTTGTCTTAGAGAGATCTTTCCATGTGGAAATGGAGGAGCAGCCAGGGAATAGTGAAAAGGCAACCAGGACAACCCGAGTGGTTTTTAAAGTACTTAATTGTTATTAATTAAATATAAATATATGATATATTAATACATTTATTTGTTCCTTTACTATTTCCAGATAAGCGCCAATGGCACTTCGCATTTCTACACCCCAGTGGCAGGTTTTCCTGGGCCAGGACCAGCGGGCAATTACCATTTGCCACCGCCGCCGCCGCCCCAGCAACAACAGCAGCAGCAGCAGGCTCAAGGAGCACCACCTGGGGCCGCAGGACCACCAGCAGGAGCAGCAGTTGCTGGAGGAGCGCCTCCACCAGCGGGAACAGCGGCCGCCGCTCACTCCCACAGCCACACACACACCCACAACCATCCTCAGCAGCCACAGCAGCAACACAACCAGGCTCACACACATTCCCCGCACTCGCCATCGCCGCCAAATTACCGGGATGAGCGGAGTCAGCGGCAGCACACGAAGCTGCTAAGAAAGCTGGAGAAGCAGAGGGAGTCAAGTAAGCCTCAAGATTCCCAAGATCCTCTAAAACATTCAACTAAATCCACTTTAATTTCCCTTTAGATCCTCAGTTGTCCACGCCACCCACACACTCGCCTTCGCCTCGTCGTGCCAACGAACTGAATGGTCACAACAACAACAATAACATTCCTTTGGGGGTGCTGCCCCTGCCGGCTCACCTCACCAACCATCACCACCTGGTGGGACGCAGGATTCCCCCACAGCAGCAGCCGGGACATCCTGCCCAGCACAGGAACGGTAATCCCCAGCAGCAGCAGCAGCAACAACAGCAGCCGCATCATCCCCAGCGAACTGGAAGCAGCGTGGGCGGAGCCAGCTCTGTGGGAACCTCGGACGATGGCGAGGACAACTCCAGTTTGGCTGGCGAAGATGAGGAGGAGGAGTACCAGGCCTCCATTGTAGACCAAATCTCGGCCATCGAAAAACCCGAGGTGATAGATGTGACCTCGCGAGCGGCCAAGATCATCTGGGAATCCCCGGCCCTGGCGGATGCCCTTGTGGTGGACATGCGACAATTGCGCTACCAAGTGCTCCTCAGTGACTCGGGGAAGCAGTGCAAGTACAAGAGTCTGTACATGGGCGAGGCCTACGAGTGCATTGTGCAGGATCTGCAGCCGGGACAGGATTATCTGGTGCGCCTGCAAGTGCACTACCAAAAGCTCCATGGGACTGTAAGCGAGCCGGCCGAATTCCGGACGCCAGCCTGCGAGCCGGATCAGCCGCCGCCGCCAAAACTGGTGTCGCGCACCAAGAACTCGATCAATCTGCGATGGGCTGCCCCGGCAGCCAACGGATCGAGCATCCAGCACTACCTGCTGGAGTACGACGAGGGTAGGGCGACGCAAAAGTTCGTGGAGCTGGCCAAGATCAAGGCCAAGCACTATGTCATTGGAAAACTCCAACCCACCACTGTCTATAGCTTCCGCTTGGCGGCGGTTAACGAGGTGGGTCAGAGTCCCTACTCCCCGGTAGCCAGCTACAGCACCTCCGGCAATCCACCGCCCGTGCCCAGGCCACCGCAGCTGCTGGCCAACAGCTCCAGCTCGCTGAAACTGGGTTGGGAGCGAAGGGCGCAGGATGGGGACTTCCTGCTGCAGCTGCAGGATGCGGAATCCGGCCACGGTTACCTGAACACCTACAAGGGCACGGAGCTGCAGACGGAGTGCCTGCAACTAAGGCGGGCCAGCAGCTACCAGTTCCGTCTGCGTTCGGAGAACGAGGCTGGAGTGTCGCCCTGGTCGCCGGAGGTCAGCTATCGGACGCTGGCGGAACGGCCTAGCAGGCCGGGCAAGCCCCAGGCCAAGGGCAAGATCCATGGGACACACTTTAAGGCCAGGTGGGATGCTCCTGGAGACTCTGGCGGCGCCGAGATCCTTCGCTATCACCTCGAGCTGAGCGCCGCGGGTCCGATGTTCGAGAGGATCTACAGTGGCGGCGAAACGGAGGCCATGTGCGAGCGCCTGCAGCCGGGAACGACCTATGCTTTACGTGCCTGCTGCGAGGGTCCGGCGGGACAGAGTCCCTACTCCGACATTGGGCATGTGACCACGGAGGCAGTGCCACCGTCCGCTCCGCCACCGCCCCACTGCACCGATCCGCCCTCGCCCTACGCCGCCCTCCTGAAGCTCCAGCATCCGGAGTACAATGGCGGGGCTCCGGTCTTGGAGTTCGAGGCCCAGATGCGGCGCCTGGAGCAGGTGCAGCCACCGCAGTTGGTCTACCGCGGCAAGCAGGCCTACTTTGTGGCCCAGGACCTGATCCCCGGCAGCATGTACGAGGCCCAGGTGAGGGCCATCAATCGCATTGGCGCTGGAAACTGGTCGCAGTGGATGAGATTCACGGCGGCCGCAGCGGCGCCTGGGGTGCCCGAGGAGTTGCGCGTGCTGGTCAAGTCGGCCACCCATCTCAGCGTGAGCTGGCAGCCTCCACTGCAGGACAATGGAGCGGCGGTGACTAGCTACACTCTGAAGAGTGCCAGCCAGGAGAGGAGGGACCAGGAGCAGGACCAAGACCAGGTTAAGGAGCCGCCCAGCTCCGAGTTCCACAACTGCTATCAGGGTGCACTGACCAGCGCAGAGCTAAGGAACCTCTCACCCTTCACGCGCTACCATTTCCGCATCCTGGCCACCAATGCCGCCGGCACAGGATCCTCCTCCGACGTGATAAGCGTGTGCACGCCTGCCGCCGTGCCGGGAGCACCGCAGATGCAGGGCTACGAGTTCACCGCCCAGGAGGTCACCCTCAACTGGACACAGCCGGCGGCCCACGGTTCGCCCATTTGCTCCTACAACATCGAGTACGGGGAGCGGACCATTGCCACGCCGGATGCCTGCACGCGGTACACGGTCAGTGGTTTGTCGCCCGAAACGGGCTACAAGTTCCGCGTCCAGGCGGTCAACGCCATCGGAGCGGGTGCCTTCAGTGCCTATGCCAAGCTGACAACCCAGCCGGCACCGCCTTCGCCACCGCGCCTCGAATGCAGCGGCGCCGGCCACAACTACATCAAGCTAAAGTGGGGAGAGAACGCCTCCGCAGGCAAGCAGGGCAACGGAGGATCCTCCCCCGGCGACTTCACCAAGTACTTTGTGGAGATGTATGTGGCCAGGGCCAAGCAGTTCCAGTCCGTCTACGCCGGCACCAATTGCATGTGCAAGGTGCACAAGCTGCAGGAGCGCAGCAGCTACACGTTCCGCATCTATGCCCACACGGATCGGGCCGGCGATGGTGACTACTCGGAGGATTTCGTCTTTGAGACCTCGGCCACGCTGCCGGCAAACATCAAGGCGCCGCGTGTGGTCCAGGAGGGCAGCGTCTGCCTGATGGACCTGCCCGGCCAGCTGGGCATGCAGCTCACTTTGGAGTGGCAGCACTCGAAGAACTCCTTCCACGATCGCGTGGAGTACGAGCTGCAGTATGCGGTTTTGGGAGCCTCCGACCTAGAGGCCGAGTCCCTGTCCCCCAAGGGTCGCAGCAGCAGTTCCAGTGGAAGCTCCAGCGGAGCTCCCGTCAACTTGGCCAACCAGGACTACAGGCAGTTGTACCGCGGACCCGAGACCAAGTTCACCATTGACAATTTGGCCGCCGGCACCTGCTACCAGTTCCGTGTGTGTCCCGTGAGGATAGCCGCCGGCGGCGAGCTCCTATACGGTCAGCCGTCGAGTCCGCTGAGATATCAGGTGCCCAGTGAGCTGGATCCCAGCTCGGCGACCTGCCACCACCACCTGCATGGGTCCACCACAGCTCCGGCGGTGGCCAGCCAGAGGAGCAGCCGAAAACTGTCGGCGGGCAATGGCTCGGCCAATGGCCTGCACATGAGATCGGTGAGTGCCTCGGCGATTAGTGGGGCAAGCGGGGTGGGTGCGGATCCCGTGGCCATTGGAAGGCTGCAGCAGGAGCTGTCCGGCTTCAATGCATGCGCGGATCCCCTGCATCACCATCATCATCATCACCATCACCACCACCAGCAGTGCGGCGGCGGTGGTGCAGGAGCAGGAGGAGGAGTCAGTGGTGCCGGTGCCACGGATTCGCATCATCAACATCAGCATCATATGCATCACTCGCATCACATGCACCATGCCCACCATCCGCACACCGGCGGCCTGGCTTTGGGCGCCAACTCCTCGAGCGCCGCTGCCTCCTCCTCTTCCTCCTCCTCAACTGCGGCGGCGGCGTCGGTCATCTCATCCAGCCTGGCCCACTCCGGGGGACTGCGTCGAATTGTTAGCAAGCTGACATCGCTGTACTCCAACCGAAAGCGGCTGAGTGACCAGCAGAAGGCAGTGTGCATTGTGGTCTCCTTCCTGGTGGGCACTTTTCTGGTCGCCATGCTGGTCAACATGCTGAGGGGTTAAGAGGCCAAATCATCGCAAGAACCACACACAAAAATAAAAATACAGGCAAAAAGGTAAAAAAAAAAATAAGAAAACCTAAAAAAACACACTTTTGCAGGAAAGCCACAGAGATCGCCATAGATTTTAAATCAATTTAAAAAGGCGCCCAAAAGTATGCAATGATATCCATTTTATATCCCAAAATTCCTATGAATTTGTTAAGGGTTTCATGGCCCGGATGCCCTTTCCCTGAAATGCATTTGAAATCCGCAGCGATCTGTGTGGCCCTCCTGTTTGTCTCAAAGAAGTGATTTCAAAAACCCATTAGTTTGTAATTATGTATTTTTTATATATACAATGTGTAACAGAATCAACAAACAAAATCAAAAAACAACAACTGTATATTGTCTAATTTTAATCAAAACAAAAAAAAATGGAGAAACGAGAAGAATGCAGATGGCAGGAAATCAAATGGAAACGGAAACGGAAGAGAGAAAGGCAGAATCCCCAATTAAATGTATTAAATGTACACAAAGAAACACATTCACAAACAGCTAAACATGTTAATAATGGTATTTACTTATATATAATATTTGTTGTCACAAAAAACGAAAGTTTAATCTCCAATATGTGCTATAAACAAAACGAAAAAAAGAGCTGAAAAACATAAAAAACAAAACTACGGGCTCTTTTCCAGTACTTGTCTAAATCTCTGCTTCTCAAACAGCTTCTATCTGTCGCGCATTTGCTCTCTCCCCCTCTCCCTCTCTCTCGCTCTGCCTCTGTGTGCGTGAATGTAAAATACGTGTGAATTTTTTGTACAAGACTTTTTTTGTAAAGTGTATTCCAAACGAAATCGTAGTTAGCTTGGTCCAACAAATTGCACCAACAACTAAGTAGCTAAACGGAGTAAACAAATTGAGAGGAGGTCGCTGGATATTGGTGGCAGGGGGGAGGCGAGGGGGGCCCGAGAGCAAATGCAAAATAATTAAACGAAAAAATGTATGAATTTATTAGACATTACTACACTAGCAAAAACAAAAAATACAAACAAGTATTCAGTGCTCTGTACAATTGTGTTTTTCCCCCAAAAAACAAAACAAAACAAAAACGCTCCAATCTAAGCCGAAATATATATACAAAGAATATATATGTAAAACAGCAGACGCTTCTTTCATTCTCACAACAAAACCTTTTTATACGAATTATTACAACAATTTATTAATAAAATGAAAACATATTAAATACGACAACCAGAAACCCAAGGCGAACGGCAACCCCCCAAGTTGGGGCTGCTATATTCTGTTGACAAAACAAACTGTTGCATTTCAACTAAATAAAATAAAATAACATAAAAACAAAACAACCAACTAAACAAATATGAAACCCTGCTATATAGCAGCCCCAACTAGGGGCCAAAGTGATTTATATTCCAATTATTATTATTTTTCTAATTAAATAAATTAAAACTAAATGTAATTGTTTCTTTCCATAGCATTTAATGTGAATTATATACAAAAAAGAAAAACCGGCATCTTATCTAAAAAAAATCATGAAAACCTAAAAAAAAAAAACACAAAACAAAACAAATGTTTGTTCATGTAAAGCATAAACATTTGCTTGATGCAAATTAAAAAAATTATATATATATAAATAAAACATAAACTTAAATCGGAATCAAATGATAAATAAATGGAAATTATGTATGTTTCTATGTTTACAAACTTATAAAATTTATTTGCAAAATATATATATATATATATGAAACATTAAAATAAATGCGATATACAAATAATAAAAAATACAAAGCTTGAGTTTCATTTGGGGATCATTTTTTTTCAGGGGAATAATAAAAATATGGTTAAAATATCACTCGCACTCCAATAGCGAAAACGAGAGCGTGCGCAGGGATCTGGGAAGCACAAGTTCATCAAGTTCATTGTAATTGTTGATTGATGATCACCTGATCGGCAGAGGTGAAGCTGGAGGAGCGAGCAGCTGGGATGACAGATCTCAACTCGATGGCAGTGGAGCACGGTGATTGGATTTTGGCTCCGGGCTAGTTAAAACCCTGCAGCAGGCGTAAATAATTAAAATATTTATAAATGCAATTTAAATATATAAATGTAATTGATGGAACACACTAATATGAATCAATAAAAGATGGTGAAATCAATGTGAAGGCGGCATTTATTTGGGATCGTTTGGGGAAAAATCTCATTATTTTGAAAGCAAAATCTAAATTTTTAAATTTGTTTTCTGAATTTTAAACATTTTTTTCGGATGTTTTACAATTCATCTAAATTTTTAAAAAATTGTTCTACATTTAAAAATTTGTTCTGAATTTTAAAATTTTTTTTCTGAATTTTTAACATTTTTTAGATTTTTTATATTTATTTAAGACATTTTTTAGAATTAAACAATTTTTTTTTTAATATTTTAACTGCCAAATTAGAATTTGAATTTAACTGCCAAATTTGAATTTGAATTTAACGACGATCAGTTTCAGTGTGCCCAGGTGCAGTTGTAAAATAACACCTAAATTTGGATTCAAAAGGTTTGAGTCTCCGCTAACTTGCGCCAGCTCCTAAATGGTCTGAAACTTGGACTTTTTATAACAGTTTATACCAGTTTTCAATTGCTTGCTGCTGATTTCTGTTCGCCTGTTACCCCAATTTGGGAAACGGGCAATTTGCATGGAAATTTTTGAAAATTTGGATTGCTGCTGTAGGGAGGTTGTTGTAATGGGGTTGTTGTTGCAATCAAATGGCTGTGCCGGCGGTAAGAGGGTATAAATGCATAAAATAAAATATAAATGTTTATACCAGTTATTATTTCTGGCCCAACGTTTTTATAACAGTTTATACCAATTATCAATTAAATAAATAAATAAATATTTAAATTAATTATTTTTTATTTTCTTAAATATTATAATTTTTAATTAACGGGGGAAATAAATAATAATTTAAGTCGCAACTAAAGCTAGAGGAATTAAAAATAATTTCTGCAGCCCATCCAAATTTTCGACAATTTCTATGCAATTTGGCCGTTTCTCAAATTGGGGTACCAGGCGAACAGAAACCAGCAGCAAGCAACTGAAAACTGTTATAAAAAGTCCAAGTTTCGAACCATTTAGGAGCAAGCGATTGTAACGGCTGTTTTCCCAAAATGCAACTTTGGGCAGGCAGCTCAGAGAGGGATAGCAAGTGTCCAGAAAAGAAGAGAGCAGACAACACAGAGTTGTATTTTGGGAAAGAAGCCAGGTTTGAGTCTCCGCTGACTTTCGGTTGCTCCCATAAGGTTCGAAACTTGGACTTTTTATAACAGTTTATACCAGTTTTCAGTTGCTTGCTGCTGGTTTCTGTTCGCCTGTTACCCCAATTTGAGAAACAGGCAAATTGCATGGAAATGTTCGAATTTTGGATGGTCTGCTGTAGGGATGTTGTTGTAAAAAGGTTGTTGTTGCCATAAGCTGTTGTTGTCGGCAACAAATAGGTATAAATGCATAAAATAAAATATAACAGTGTATACCAATTATTATTTTTGCCCAAAAGTTTTTATAACAGTTTATACCAGTTTTCAGTTCCTTGCTGCTGGTTTCTGTTCGCCTGTTTGGAAAGCGGCCAATTTGAATGAAAAGTTTTGCTCACTTGCATCAGTGATGCTCATCTGCATCAGTGATGCTCATCTGCATCAGTGATGCTCATCTGCATCAGTGATGCTCATCTGCATCAGTGATGCTCATCTGCATCAGTGATGCTCATCTGCATCAGTGATGCTCATCTGCATCAGTGATGCTCATCTGCATCAGTGATGCTCATCTGCATCAGTGATGCTCATCTGCATCAGTTATGCTCATCTGCATCAGTGATGCTCATCTGCATCAGTGATGCTCTATTGGGACAAAATGCATCTCTCTAACTGCCAGTGATGCTCAACTAGCTATTTTGCATTACTGCGACAAAATGGCAACTCTCTAACTGCCAGTGATGCTCATCTAGCTATTTTCATTATTGGGACAAAATGGCATCTCACTAATTACCAGTGATGCTCATCCAGCTATTTTGCCTTATTGGAACAAAATGGCATCTCACTAACTGCCAGTGATGCTCATCTAGCTATTTTGCATTATTGGGACAAAATGGAATCTCACTAACTGCCAGTGAGCTCATCTAGCTATTTTGAATTTTTTGCATTTATTTCTCACTAACTGTCAGTGATGCTCATCTAGCTATTTTGCATTATTTAGGCAAAATGGCATCTTACTAACTGCCAGTGATGCTGATCTAGCAATATTGCAATATTTGATGTTTTTTCCATTGACCACCGCAAGAATGCCCTTCCATTGAGCCTGTTTAAATTATCCCACCCAAAAAAAAAAAACCGCATCCTCCTCATAACTCAAAAATAACACATTTTTTAAGGTTTATTATTTATTTCAGCTTTAAATAAATACAAGAAGAAAAGGTGAGGCATGTGGGAATGTCGGAGTTCGTTCCCAGTGGTTTCGACTCGGTCTTGGTGGCACTTGGTCCACTTCTGCTCCTCCTCGTCCTGTCTCGCCTTCGGCACCCGCTTTCAGTTCCTGGCAGCTTGCTGCAACTAAATTTAAAAAAAGGGTGCGATTTATTTTGATAATTTTTCAGAACCAAAACTAATTTCAGGTTCATAGCTCTGCCAAAAATGCATGAAATTCAATTCGGAAAGCTGTTCAGAATTGCCTTTTCTAAGAGTAACAAAACTGCATACTACGTTTAGGGTATTTTTCAATTTCATTTTTTCTCAACTTTTTAGAATTTTAATGATGGTACGTACCCCTTACATTTTTTGCAAAAATTGTGCGATTTATTTTTGGCGAAAATAACTAATTTTCAAAGGTTCATAACTCAGTCAAAAATGCATGAAATTCAATTTGGAAAGCTGTTCAGAATTGCCTTTTCTAAGCCTAACAAAACTGCATACTACGTTTAGGGTTCTTTTCAATTTCATTTTTTCTCAATTTTTTAGAATTTTAATGATGGTACAACTTACATATTTTTGCAAAAATGGTGCGATTTATTTTTGGGGAAAATAACTAATTTTCAAAGGTTCATAACTCAGTCAAAAATGCATGAAATTCAATTCGGAAAGCTGTTCTAAGTTGCATTTTCTAAGCCTAACAAAACTGCATACTACGTTTAGGGTTCTTTTCAATTTCATTTTTTCTCAACTTTTTAGAATTTTAATGATGGTACCCCTTACATTTTTTGCAAAAATTGTGCGATTTATTTTTGGCGAAAATAACTAATTTTCAAAGGTTCATAACTCAGTCAAAAATGCATGAAATTCAATTTGGAAAGCTGTTCAGAATTGCCTTTTCTAAGCCTAACAAAACTGCATACTACGTTTAGGGTTCTTTTCAATTTCATTTTTTCTCAATTTTTTAGAATTTTAATGATGGTACAACTTACATATTTTTGCAAAAATGGTGCGATTTATTTTTGGGGAAAATAACTAATTTTCAAAGGTTCATAACTCAGCCAAAAATGCATGAAATTCAATTCGGAAAGCTGTTCAGAATTGCCTTTTCTAAGCCTAACAAAACTGCATGCTACGTTTAGGGTTCTTTTCAATTTCATTTTTTCTCAATTTTTTAGAATTTTAATGATGGTACCACTTACATATTTGTGCAAAAATGGTGCGATTTATTTTTGGGGAAAATAACTAATTTTCAAAGGTTCATAACTCAGCCAAAAATGCATGAAATTCAATTCGGAAAGCTGTTCTGAGTTGCCTTTTCTAAGCCTAACAAAACTGCATACTACGTTTAGGGTTCTTTTCAATTTCATTTTTTCTCAATTTTTTAGAATTTTAATGATAGTACCCCTTACATATTTTGCAAAAATAACTAATTTTCAAATGTTCATAACTCAGCCAAAAATGCATGAAATTCAATTCGGAAAGCGGTTCAGAATTGCCTTTTCTAAGCCTAACAAAACTGCATACTACGTTTAAGGTTCTTTTCAATTTCATGTTTTCTCAATTTTTTAGAATTTTAATGATGGTACCACTTACATATTTGTGCAAAAATGGTGCGATTTATTTTTGGGGAAAATAACTAATTTTCAAAGGTTCATAACTCAGCCAAAAATGCATGAAATTCAATTCGGAAAGCTGTTCTGAGTTGCCTTTTCTAAGCCTAACAAAACTGCATACTACGTTTAGGGTTCTTTTCAATTTCATGTTTTCTCAATTTTTTAGAATTTTAATGATAGTACGTACCCCCTTACATATTTTGCAAAAATAACTAATTTTCAAAGGTTCATAACTCAGCCAAAAATGCATGAAATTCAATTCGGAAAGCTGTTCAGAATTGCCTTTTCTAAGCCTAACAAAACTGCATACTACGTTTAGGGTTCTTTTCAATTTCATTTTTTCTCAATTTTTTAGAATTTTAATGATGGTACCACTTACATATTTGTGCAAAAATG